ACACTTCGACGCTCTAACGCGACATCTTCGGGAGTACAGTGTAATGGTAACTGTAGATCAGTCTAAATAAAACTGTTTATTGTGTGAACAAAAAGTTGTTTTGAACTGTAGCATCTATTTATTTATGATTTTACACAAGTGTTAAAGAACGATTTTTTAACTTGTAATTTTTATCATCATTTGTGTGAAATGTAAAAACATATACAAAACATTGTTGTATAGATCGTTCCTTGTTATTAAAATAATTACAAATTTAAAATTCTTGGTTACCATTGATAAAGTGTGAATCTGAGATTCTCATTTTATCTCTGCACTTTTTTTCGGCGTTGTGGTTGGGACACTCGAGTCGCAATCTAAAAGTCGTGGGTTCTAACCCTGTCTCCGAACAGGCTCGCCCTTTTAGCCGTGGGGGCGTTATAATGTGACGACCAATCCTACTTTTCGTTGGTAAAGAGTAGCCCAAGAATTGGTGGTGGGTGATGTTAACTAGCTATTTTCCCATTAGTCTATCACTTCAAAATTAAGGACAGCTCGTACAGATAGCATTCGTGTAACTTTGCGTAAAAATTAACACAAATACCACAATCAGAAAGAAATGTGAATGTATGGTCATACAGTAAGGAAACTGATTGAATAAAACTTAATGTATGGTCATACTGTAAGGAAAATGGTTGAATAAAACTTAATGTATGGTCATACTGTAAGGAAACTGATTGAATAAAACTTAATGTATGGTCATACTGTAAGGAAAATGGTTGAATAAAACTTAATGTATGGTCATACTGTAAGGAAAATGGTTGAATAAAACTTAATGTATGGTCATACTGTAAGGAAAATGGTTGAATAAAACTTTTTTTTTCAAATTATCCTTGTGCTCATCTATTGTTTTTAAACAAAATAAATAAAACAAAAAGATCAGAAATTTACCTTCTACAAAGTATAAATTCCAGTATTTTTAAAAGGATTGTATTCCTATGATTCTTACCTGCATATAAAGCAGTGTTTGGACATACCTTTTTGATTTCATTTCTAGCAACGATGTAGTATTGGTTGTTTTGCTGATAAAAACTTCATCTCATTTGTTAGCTTATGGTGTTGTAAGTCCATGAAAATACCGCTGACCCCCTGGGGGACAAGTCCGTGACATTATATTTCTAACCATTCAAATTAGACTTTATCTTTCCAGTTAAACTTAATCGTTGAAATTTGTTAAAGATTTAATTTGATTTGATTACTCCGCTTCTATATAAACAAATACAACAGACTTCAGGTAAAAGTTCACGCTTGTAGTAAATATAATCTACTTTTTTAATAGCAATGTCCAGTGGATTAGTATATATAGTATAGTCAATGCTTAATTTTACTTTCAACAGAATTGACTATCTCGTGCTAGCTTCACACCCTTTACAGTATCGAAATGTTTTCGACAATGTCAGATAATCAATTTAACCAGATAAACGCATATACTTATACACATTATCAAAATTTCTAGCAAAGATATAATTTTAGCCGGATTATCTCTATTTAATCGTTCCTCTTTAGAAGAACTCGATTTTACCTGGCAAGGTGTGAAGAACTTCTTTAAGGCTTAGCTGAATTTAGTAGAAACTTATTTTATATTTAGGAATTTAAGAATGCGACGGGGCAATATGGACTCAGCCAGTGACGGCATTTTAAAATCTTGCCACCAGTACCAATATACTCAAAGCCGGCTTGTCTCATTGCCCAAAATTTAGGGTGGGAGGAATTTCATGTACCTACTTTGATTAATTAGATCGAAATGATTCGCATTGAGGATCGTTTCTGGTGAAAAAGTTTCTATAAGTTTCGACTTTTGCCCCTTCGTGTTTTTGCTATTATATTATACTAGCAGAGACCCGCAAAACATTTCCGGCCAAATTAGTATCTTTATTGTAACAGTATGTCTTTAAATATAACATTTCTAGCACAATGCAAACGAAGTGTAATCGTAAACAACGAAATGTGTAAATCCACTTGTATATAGGCCGTACTTTATAAAACTTTAATTTATGTTAGGCCTAAGGTCGATAGAGAGATAACATAACATTGTAACCTGTGTACGTTTTGTTTTTTTTTAACTTTAGTTTAGTTAGGACTAGACTTTACTGTACTTAATACTATCGATAAATAAACTTGTTATTCTACGACCTAATGTCAAACCTTTTTTAAAAACTTTGATAAGTTTTTAATATTCTCTTGTAAAAAATGGTTAATAAAGTATATTTACATTCCTCTTTTATCGTTACTTTTTGTTTCATACAGCGATTGTAGCGACTTGATCACTGAGCTTTGCAGCTCTCTGCCGCAGGCAGTTTGTCGTCGAGTAAATAATGCACATGCGCGTTTTTTCTTTGGGAAACATTCTAACTACGCATGCTTATGCAGCAGGTTCCCGGTCAGAGAGCGTAACGGTCGTACATACAGACAAGCAGATTAATAGTATAGAAGATTATATCGGATGTGTCTACCTTTCTTGATGTTTCAATCACTGTTGTGTTTGTGGTATCCCAGCTGGCCTAATGAGCCCTTGTATTGAGCAAAAGGTCTTGTCGGCACTGTATATAGCAGATATAGTTTCATAACGTATCAAACTTCTGATAAAACGTGTATACGTTATTATACAGTGCTCCGTGTTTACTGAAATTCAATGCTAGAAACTTATTTTGGGTTTTATTTTTACGATGTCAAGACATAATTTCATTTTAAGAGGTAATATTTCATACCATTCTACCTTTTTACCACGGTACGAAATATTATGAAACGGCACTTCGAAGTTTTTAGCTTTCACTATAAAGAGTTAAATCCACGACTGACATGACCGAAGATTTTTCATAATGTATGTCAAGAACAGTAACATTTAAAATAGAGCATTGTGAGTTTCACTTTATGTAGAAAATGCAAATGATAATAAATTTTACAAACAAATGTTAAAATTCGAAACCCAAAACTGCAACAGTATGACAATTTAACGGTTTCACTTGCACATCCTGTTATAACTATGTGAACAAGGTGAAAAAAGACAATCTTAATTTACCTTATTTTACCACATGGTGAGTTTGTGTTCTTTTGCAACTTGAAGTTTGCTTGTATTAAGATGGTCTGAAAAAATATTTTTTTTAATTTGTGCTACAAGACGGTTCATTTTCTAACATATTTGAGCTACAACAGAATCAATTTTTACGACAACCGAACTGTTTTCTATCGTAATTTCCAAATGCATTAATAATAATATCCATTTTAATAAAGATACAATGTAGTATCAAGAAACTTAAGATCACACACCAAGTTTCTTACGTATTTCATTACCTGAAGACTAATATACACCTGGAAAAAAGTTAAGCACCCCCAAATATTTTTCAGGATTGCTTATTGAAAATAAGGTTTAATTT